CATTTTCCTAGGCAATGGTGGCTGAATTGGGGGCATTCTAGTTTCCTTCCACTGTGGCATCCCCTCAATACAAGGAACTTCATATTCGTAACTTGCCAAAAACATATGCTTGCTATACCAGTGGCTTACATAGTGTTCATCTTTTTCCTTCCTCAATTTAATGACACTTACAACATGCTTACAAGGTATGCCTGTCATGTTCCAGCACCTGCAAGTACAAGTCCTCCTGTTCATATCAACAATAAATTTACCCTTGTCTTCTTCTTCAACCTCATAACCAGGCCATAGCACCCTGCATCTCTTGCTTCCTTCCCTACTTGCAATAATCTTCTCCCATATTTTAGGACCAAAATCACCAACAAACTTCTCATCTACAAATGTCCTTCTAGCAACAGTCCTCCTACCACACATCATCCTAAGATCTTCAAGCATTGAGAAAATAGCCTTGTGCCTTGAATCAACAATTAAACCATTAAAAACTTCACACATATTGTTGTCAACTACATTTGACTTACTGTCTTCCTTGAAGAATGCCTTTGACCAAAACTGTGGGTGTACTTTTAAGACAGCAACCCTAGCTCTCTGTTTAATGTTGGTCAATTCACCAAATGCCTTAATGAAATCAGCTTCAGTGGTTGCCTTTGCGCATTTCCAGAATGCTCTCTGCAGCTCCTTGCCTCGGTTATCCTTTCGGAAGTTGGCATATACGTGTCTTGCACATCTTCTATGTTTAGCATCTGGAAACAGCTCTTTAATTGCATTTATTATCCCCTGCCATGCACATAATAACGTATTAAATGCTAGACAATTGGATAAAAATAAAATATTACTACAATAGAAGGTCCCAACTTGGTCCCTGCACTTTAAAAGTACAGGGATCAAGTTGGAACCTTAGTTAAAACAAAGAAACAAAGCTAGCAATAACCTTCTGTTGATCTGATATAAATGTGAATCCATTGCCACTACCAATTTGCATATCTGATTGCAGTTCTTCCAAAAATCATCTCCAAGTCTCTGTCTTCTCAACCTCGACAACTGACCATGCCAATGGGTACATCCGATCGTTGGCATCCCGTCCAACTGCCACCAGCAAAACTCCTTTATATGCTCCCTTAAGAAAAGCTCCATCAACCCCTATTACACACCTACAGCCAGCAACAAATCCAAGTTCATAGCGCTGAAACATATATACATTCTCATGAAAATAGGATTTGCATTTGTTGTTGGCCTTGGTGCCTGAATGAGAATTGTGGCTGCTGGATCTCTTCTCCTCAGCTCAACAGCATAGTCCCACAGTTTACTATATTCCATCAAACAATTTCCTTCAAACACACAGGCAATTTTCTCTCTTGCCTTCTTTCATTGTTTTCCAATTAACTCCAGCCCAATGTTTCTCCGGATGGTTTGAAAAATGTCATCTGCTTTCAAGTAAAGAGAAGCAAAACCCATCTTCCTAACCAAATACTTTGATGCACTTGTTGAGTTGAATCTCTTACTT